AAAAGTTGCAAGTTATTAGAACTTTTAAACTATTGATCATGATCTAATTAATTTTCAAACTTCACACTGGCACTCATATATATATACAGAATTGCAGGATCGAACCTTCCACTATGAAAGATAGATGAAACACATGGCCACAAGATTATAAGGAAATAGTTTACATAGATGGGTGCCCACAATCCTAGTAGCTAGTAGAATTACAAGATATTCCTAAGTTTCCTTTTTAGGAGAACTCAGGAGAATTTCAACCAAGGATCAAAAAGAGATATTTATCAATGGGTTTCCAAAAAAATATGAAAATTCTTTGCATGTTTTTTGGACTAATTGAAATAAAATTGGTAGCTGAAAAAATTGAAATGTCTTTTTGTGAGATTAATAAGTAAAATATAATTACGTAAATGTTACATGTTAATTATGCTACATCACTTTTTGTTTTTTTGTTTTTGTTAGTTGTAAAAGCTTTTAAATGTTGTAACAATAGATGTGACAAGTTTATTTTAATATCAGTTGTAAATCATCTAAACTTATTAATGCTAATTCAATCATTTTATCCAAAATATAAAATTATTAGTTGTTAATTATTTAACTTTTACTTATTAATTTATTAATACCAATTATAAATTATATGACTTTATTTGTCAATAATCATATTAATTTAATCATTTTATTTGAAATATAAAATCATTAGTTGTTAATTCTCTAATTTTACCAATTTTATTTTAGTTCAGTCTAAAAAATCTAGAGAATTTTCAGATTTTGTTTTTGAAATCCTTAGTTCTTAGCTGAAATTTTTCCTTCTTCTTTTTTTTGTTTTTCTTTGTTTTTTTTTTTTTTTTTTGGCTCTGCGAGACTACAAGTTTGCTGCTGCACGAAAACCTTATTCGTAACTTTGCTTTTGACTCTTCTGTCGGAAGAGATGCTATTAAGCGTGAATTGGAAACATTCCAAATCAAATTTCTCTCCTTGAAAAAGGCTGGCAATAAAGCAAAATGATCAGAATTTTGAAGCAGCCAGTAACACACAATATTTTCATGAAATTGTCAAACAAAAAAGAAATTATAATAGAAGTTTGTCAATTACATACACTTCTGGCTTCTGGGGAATGGACAAATGACTTGGATGCCATTGAGAACCTTGCCATCCATCATTTCAAAAATATTTTCGCTTCTATTTCACGCTCGCCAACTGCAGATCCGGACGAGTTTCTCTCTGATCTTCATATTCCGAGACTCACTGAGCATCATCTTTCTATCCTTAATCAAGAATTTTTACCATCGGATATTAAAGAGCAGTTGAACTTCCTGTTGAAAGCGCACCAGGGTTATTGGATGGATTCCATGCTAAATTCTTTCAACATTTTTGGGATATAGTAGAGAATGACATCTGCTATATGGTCACTATATATGTTTAGAAGGTGAGGCTTTCTTCTCAGAAGTATTAATAAAACACTGATCTATTTAATTACCAAACCTGCAGATTGCCCTCAGACTTTCAAAGACTGATCAGGCCAATAACCCTTTGCTCAGTTGCATATAAGATTACCTCCAAGGTCCTAACGAATAGAATAAACCTCATTTTGGATGATCTAATTAATTGTTCCGAATCGAAGTGCTTTTTTTAAAGGCCGTCTTATCTCTGACAACATAATTCTTATGGCAGAGATCTTTCATTATGTTCATGCAACGAAGGGAACAAAAACCTGCTGCGGTGCACTCAAGATAGACTTTTCAAAAGCTTTTGATAGAGTTGAATGGAATTTCTTGACCCATGCACTCCCTCTGATGAATTTCCCACAAGATTGGATTTCCATAGTGTCTCAGTATCTCTCCATGGTCTCATATCAGATTTTAATTAATGGGAAGATAGCTACTTCTTTTTTGCCAAAGTGAGGAATTTGGCAAGGTGATCCACTATCTCCATACCTTTTTATCAGTTGTTCAAACATTCTATCCTTACTCATTCAATAGCAAGAATCAAGAGGTGTTTGGAGAGGGATCAATATTTCTAGACAAGCAGAACCAATCACTCACCTATAGCCCATGCGGATGACACAATTCTTTTCTTTCAAGGAGATTTGAGCTCATGCCATTAGATTTAAAAAACTCTTGATGATTTCTGTCTTTGTCCTGGACAAGAGATAAATTATGAAAAGTGGAAAGGATGGTGGTCCAGGTTTCAAATATTTCCATGGTTTCAACAAGGCTCTTCCAGCAAAGCAATCGTGGAGGATTATTTCTTCAAAAAAGAAAAAAATTCTCTGCTGGGCAGAACTCTTAGAAGAAAATATTTGCTTCCTCTGCTATCTGATACAGCTAAGTTCAAGGCCGGTTACTCCTGGATTATTAAGGACGTTCTTAAAGCATCAAGATTTCCAAAAAAGTGATCTTACTGTCTTGGATCTAATTGATCTTAAAGTGTTTGGTTGGAAGGGAGGGGTGGGATTTTGTCCCCTCCCCTTATTTGGTTTGAGAAATCGGAAGGGAGGGGAGGGAAGGGAAAATTTTTAAAATCCTCCATTCCCTCCAAACCTTCCTCTCCAAATTGGGAGGATTGGGAGGAGAGAGGGGTAGAATTTAATTTGCCATACCTTGACTAATATGCTCTTTGTAGCAAGGCTCGGAACAAAAGCCTCATTTTACATCTTTTTACAACCAACATGCACAGGAGATTCTTAGGACACCTTCTTTCTTCAATAAAGAAGATCTTCTTATCTGGGATAGGTGCCAGTCTGGAGTTTACTCAGTTAAATGAGGGATATAACCTTGTACTAAATCAGCAAGTCTCGTCTGATACAAACTACGAGCTTGGGATCTGTTAATGGAAGCTTCAACTACCTTTGAATTTGAGAGTAATTTTATTTGCTTGGAAGGTGTCAAGACAAGCAGTGCCAACTTCAGATATATATCCTTCAGAAGCATCACCTGAACTCTTTTGACCTTTTGTGTTTTTTTTTTTTTTGTCACAGTGATGAAGACAGCCTCGATCATGCCTTCTTCTGTTTCTTGTCTAGAACAGTTTGGTTTGCATTACCTTTTAACCTAAAATCAGACCAAATCATGTTGCCAAAAAAAAAAAAAAATCAGACCAAATCAATGATGGAAGAGAATTCATTCTCGCTTGCTGCAGAAAGGCCTTATCTTATGATCATTGGATAACTATTATCAAATTGATATTCTTATCATTGGATAGCAAAATCTTGGAAATATGGAGCAAATGGAAAGAACACTTCATGCAAATTCATTGTTTCCAAGGATTTCCAGATAATCAATAGGGGGGACTCTTTACAGTAAGAATGAATCAACTATGAACTTTCTTTTGACCACCAGGCTTCTCCGACCTTACTCTCTGTTTCATTCATCCAAGGCAAGCGAGATTCTTCTCAGAAAATGCAGAGCGGCAAGTGCATTTGAGAACTTTCATGAATGAGATCAAGAAGCTGATTCACTCTTTTAATATCTCTTCGTTGAAATTTTACCCAGACCTTTCATCCCCTGATAGCATAGTCTCCCTAGTAATTATTGTATTAATGTATCTGATCTTGTACTTTCTTCTAATATATTTGACTCTGGTATAAAAAAAAAAAAAACATTAGAACCTCTTACAAAGTGCTAAAAAAGTTTCTGCATCATGTCTTGTATGAGGGGACAATGCTGCTGTTGATCTTGATCTTTGATCCCTTTCTGGCTTGTGCTTGCCTTTACCTTTGTGTTGAAAAAAAAAAAAAAGAGGAACAATAATTTTAATTTTAAATAAATAATACAACAATTTTTTAATGGTTTTTAAATTTATTTTTAAAATATATGCTGATTTTTTAAAATCCTCTCCGTTTAAAATTTTCCTTAGGTAGCTAAACAAATATATTTAGAGTCTAATAATACTCGCATCCAAATAGAAATATATAGTAAAGAAGATCAGTGAATCTCTTCTCAAATAACAATAAAATTTTGCGAAATGTGGCCGTAATTTTCTCAAGTTCTAGAGGCCTTTTGATAGTAATAATTTTTGATAAAATTATTAAAATACTCTCAATTTAAACTAAAGTAGTAATTATTGTTTCGTTATAGTCCTTAGTAGAAAAAATAATTATTACTTAAACTAAAAAAGTTATAAATATTTATAATACTTAGATTCAGTGAATAAGCAATTTACACAGGGAAAATTGTAATTATTTTTTCTGTTATAATTATTTACAGAAAAATAGTTGATGCTTAAACTAAAATAGTCATGAATATTTACAACCAAGGGTTTTAGTGAATAAAAATTTTACATGGGAAAAATTATAATTCTTATTTTGTTTTAGTCATTACTAACAAAAAAATAATCATTATTTAAATTAAAGTAGTCACAAATATTTACAACACGTGAATTTTAAAAAATAAAAAATTTGCATAGAAAAAGTTGTATTATAATTACTTATTTTATTTTAGCCATTGTAAAAAAATAATCCTTAATTAAACTAAAGTAGTCATTAATATTTATTTTTTATCAAAACTATGACTTTTTTATTTTAAATTGAGAGTATTTTAATCATTTCACTAAAAATTATTAATGTTAGAAAGAATTTAGGTATCTAAGAAGAATTATGACAATTCGCAGGTTCTAATTATTATTTGCATGTTCTAGGAGGATTTTTTTGTCATTCTTTCAAAAAAAAATTAAGAGATAATAGATAATTAACCTCCTTGTACTTGAAAATTAATCAAAATTTGCACGAGTTCAACATGGTAGCAAATCATCATTCTAACCTAGGAAAAGAATAACTTCAAAAGTGAACCTTATTCTAAGGAAAAGAATTTGCACATATATTTTCTTAAAGGTGTACTATAGACAATGGATTACCCTTCGTGGAAGTCACCCTCTTTAAGAATCAAAATTAAAGTATATTTGTTTGTCACGAAAAAGGAATGAATTGAAGCTAAGAAGACATGAATTCAAAAGAAAACACAGAACCATGATAATGCTGTTTTGTGTATTATAAAAAAGCGACGAAACCAAACCAAATCTTTCATAGTTGTTTCATTCATTCTTCAAAGAGATCTCATTAGTGATGGCACTAAATCGTGTTTATGAAGATTTTCAACCTCCTCATGATTGGGTTCGTGACGAACAAAGTGAAACTCTCATTCTTCAGCTTGAAGGTTCATTTATATATTTGGCTCTTTAATCATATCTCCATTTATTAATTAGTCAATGATAATTTATTTGATTTATTATTATTTATTTGAATTTTTATTCAATTTCTATGTTTGGCAATTGTGATTTGTTAGTATGTTGCACCAATTTTACTCAAATCAATTGCCCAGATCAATCATTAGATTTAATTAGTTTAGTGAGTTTGAGTTCTATTAATTTAGTCAGTCCATAATCAGTGTGTACGTAGTAATTGTTATCCAAAAAGGGTATAATATGAAGAAAATTGATCATTTGAAGTTAGCAATTGGTAATTTAAGAAATTTTTTTAAATGAAAGAAGAATATTTTGGTTTAATATTTTAATAAAAAATTTAAAGAAATAGATAAAATATATAAAAAATGAAAAAATTATGGATCTCAATTTTAGAAAATTTTCTTTATAATCTGCATGTTTTTACAATTTGCAATTTATAATTTGTGAACCTGTTTTCATTCGACCCGTGACATAACTCTTTTGTAATCCTTTTTTAAAAAAAAAAATGACAGCTTAATGCGATAGAGTGTAATTTACCTCATCAACGAAGGTGTTATCCATTAATAATTAACTTAAACCATTGAACTAATTTTGATTTACTTTTGTAGGATTTTCAAGGAGCCAATTGAAGGTTCAAATATCAGCAATGCGCAGGATCAGGGTGAGTGGTGAACGACAAATAGAGGGCAACATATGGCGTCGTTTTTACTCGGAATTCCCAGTCCCACAAGATTCAGACACAAACAACATTGGAGCCAAGTTTGAGAGAGGCACTTTGTACGTTAGATTTCCCAAACTTATCACTCCTGTTACGCCTCAACCACCGCCGACTCAACAAGCTCCTTCGGCGGCGCCACCGCCTAGGACACAACAACTCCTCCTCCTCCACCACCGCCACCTTCGCCGCCAAAGCCGAGAACAAGAGAGGAACCAAAAGCAGAACAAACAATCGAGAAGAAGCCAGAAACAAGGGATCAGCCAAAGATAGAACAGAAGGAGGAAAAAGAACCACCAAAAGAGGAGAAGAAGCAACAAGCCAAGGAGAAGGACATTTCTCAAGGTATGTTTTCGTTTTCGTTTTTTTTTTTCTGGTATTGCCAACACATTTTAGAGGAAAAAAAATAATAAAATCCTTTGAATTATATAAATAATAATTTAATCTTTTAAAATATTATGATTCTATTGAAATCTTAATGATCCTTTTTTAATAATTTTAAATTAAAAATACTATTTTATCTTTTTTGATAAGTTGTAATTTCTTGTTAATTTTTATAATTTATAGAATAAAAGTTATTATTCTTTAAATAAAAGTTGTGATTAGAACTTATTATTTTTAATAAAGTAAAATTATTTTTTTATTTCAAAATTTATTGACAAAGAGGTTCATAGGAACTTTATTAAAATTATAACATTTTGAAGGATCAAATTATATTTATATAATTTAGAAAGATTTTTTTATTATTATTTTTTCTTTTAGAAGGTAATAAAGAAAGTATTATAATCAATAATCATCTTTTTAAAAGATAAAATGGGTCAAATTTATGACGTATCATATCATTAATTTTTATACTCAGAATTTTAATAGCGGTCCCAGCTTGAGCCAATCTTTTATGATCTATCTTTCACAAAAAAGGAAGATGAATAGAGGGTACTTATACTTTTTTGACAAATAAATCTATGTAAAAATTTTTTTTTTAATTTACGTGGAAAATGCTTGAAAGTGTGAAACATCTACCAATAAGAACGGAAGGAGTATATATTATAGATTTTCGGAAATGAATGAAGGGAAATTAAAGAGGGAAACATTTTTAAATTAAATTAATTATAATTTAGAAATTGAAAACTTACTCATTCTTCATAAAAAA